AAGGGGGACTATAGGTTTTAGGAAGCTTGTTGGCTTCTAATCTTCTTGCAGCTTGAACAATTCCAAATGTCTGCCTGGGTCATGTAGAAGACCTACCTCCAAGCCCATCATGCCCTTAGGTACAACCGAAAAGCCATCCCCTTCTCCCAACACATGAGCTATAGTCTAAACTCTGAAAGGGGGTTATATAGGGGATTTTATTGGGGACTAATATAGGGGTTATTAAGGGGGATACTAGGAGTTTAGACAATGGCTCATATCATGAGAGGGCTTTGGTTACCCAACCCCGAAGATCAGAGCCCTATGGCTATTATTGGTTTTTCGGGGGTAGGGATCACCAACATCAACTCATTACAACGAATCCAAATAAACCCCTGTATACGCCCAGTTTCCATTCCATGTTTCGTTGCCCTTCCTGTCTGATTGCCCACAGTGGGGGTTGGGGCTACCAAAGCTCGCTTATGCCGTGGGCCGTGAACGGTGCCAACCCCAATATAGACCCTGCTTCCAGTCTGTTATTTGGCGTCGCTCAATATGACTCCCCGCTCTGGAAGGTGGGGTTACCGGGTTACCAAAACTGTCCTAATCCCGTGGTTATGATCTAAACTGTAAACCCTACAATATATCCCTGTAAACGCCCATCTTACATCTCATTTATGATGCTCTCTCGTTTTGACTCTCCTTTCCCGTGTGTGATGCGAAACGTGTCGCTGCCCTCTGTCCTAAAGGCTGGCTTAGCCCTTAGTTCCCCACTTGGGTGCCTAGGGTTTAGGGTTAGGGTTTGAAGAATTTTACGCTGCAAACCTTGATAGACCCTACAGCCTGAACAGAGAACTTAACATAAACCAAGCCCCTATGCCCAAATCTTACACCTTGCATACCATGATATGCCCTGCAACCCTGCCTCCAAAACCCAAAGGCATAGAAACCCTGACCCCCAACGTAACTGCCAGGCTGGCGTCTACAAAGCCCCAAAGGAGACAACAACACAAATTGGGGATTGAGGGTTTGTTTGGCTTGTTGTACTGTAGGACAGACCCTCACTAATATCTGGGCTTTTTTTTGTTTTTGTGGTTAGCCTCTTGTCTTGTGTGTTGTAGGTACCCTAAACCCGAAACCCTTAGGAAAGCCCAGCCCAGCTTCAGGGTTTAGCTTGGGGTCTAATGCTTTTGGATGAGTCTAGTGTTCGAGTCTTCAGGGTCCAATGAGGCCTAGGATTAGCATTTAGGTGTTGGGCCTGGTAGTGTTTGAGGGTTTAGTTGCAGGTCGCTTAAAGTAGGTTGACAGTAGGGAAAGCAGGTGTAATGCAAGGGAAAATACGTGAGCTACGGGCTGTCGTGGTAGTTCAATCTGAGCCCCACCACATACAGTAATCTTACTGGGAGGACTCAATCCCCTAAACCCTATACCCTAAACCCTTGTGAATCCCTCAATAGCTGTACCGAGAAAGCGTCCCTTCATTCCCTACCCAGCACCATTCGTCAAACCTGCAGCCCTGCAGTTTGTTTCACACCAAAGGTGCCAAAAGCCTCAATGCGTTTCAGCATACAAGTCCAAACTTCAGGAAAGCCGCACCTCCGAATTCAAGCGCTTTCCCCAAACAACCTGACACTTTTTGAGTTCAAGCCTAAACCTGAAACTACCACAACGTCACCAAGCCCTGAACCTTACCTGGATTGAAAAGTGGGAAACATAGTGGCCCAAGCCAAAAAGGCCATTCTACATAGTCTTGGTGTCCAGGTAAGCGCTATTCAAGTTCTAAGCCCTGAGCCTTTCACCCGAACGCCTCAAGTCTAAACTCTTGGCCCCGTAAACCCTCGCAGCCTTGCCCTAGGGGTCCTCGTACCTGATAATCACAGCACCAGTTGCTACCACTGGGTATTGGGACCCTCTGGGTAGACGAACTTCCTCCAACTCAGGGACGTCCCGCACCTAGTAGCGATTCGTATGACTTACTAAGAGGTTTGGGGAGTTCCTCATGGGCCCGGTTGCTTAAAGTTAGGTTGACTAACAATTTTCCGCAAATAGTAGGAGACCCCCTAAACCCTCAACCTAAACCCTTAAACCCTAAACCCCTTAAACCCCTAAAACCTTAATCCCCTAAACCCTTGCTTGCGGTTGCAGGAGCTACCTCTCTTCATGCAAAATCGGCTGAAGCAGCAAAGCGAGGTCTTTTGCGGTAGAATTCGGGTCACGCAAGGGTCAGGTTTATAGGCTTTAGGGTTTACAATAGGGTTTAGGGTTAAAGGGTTTAGGGTTCAGGGTTTAAGGGTTTAAGGGTTTAGGGTTTAGGGTTAAGGGTTTAGGGTTATAAGGTTTAAGTTGGACAGGTGCGCCCAGCCAACGACTTGCACATTTTTTGAAAGAGGAGAGCGTGGAAACCCAACCCCGAAACCCCGCACCCAGCATGCTGTGCTTTCAAAGATCCAGGGTGCTGAAGTTGGCGCTGGACTTCTTCCTTAACCCTAAACCCTAGCATGTTCAAGCCTAGCTATTTCACAAGCATGGCCGCTTAGGGATCAAGAAAAGCTGAAGGTTCAGGGTTTTGTGGAGCGTATTTGAATTCTGTTCGTCTGAGGCGTGGCCTTCCAGGAAGAGCTACATCTATGCGGAAGCCGTCAAACTCCAAGCCACATGGGGTTTCCCAAAATCAGGGGTGCCTTATTGGGGGTCCCCATAATAAGGATTCTATAGTATATTGGGGTCTATATTGGGGTCCCCTCATTCAGGGAAACTGCCATATAGCTCTTAACCTACATCAATGCACAGGCCCTCTACATCCCATCTCCTTTGGGTCATACCTCTCCACGGGGGTATTCCGTTTTTAGAAAATCCAAGTCCGCTTCCGTTCAGGAACCTTGGTAAGAAGGTTCTGAATATCGTTCTAAATGCCTTAATGGGTGTTTCTCCGCTTATAATTTCTTTCTAAACCCGAAACCCCAAACCCTAAACCTTGTATGTGCTGCTATTTCCCTATAACCCCTTCAAAGGCCCTAAGTCCTAAACCCTAAACCCTAGACGCTAAACCCTGGACCCTGAACCCTAAACCCTAAACCCCTCTCCCTAAGCTCTGCTGTCCAGGCAGCTCGGCTAGCAGCAATGCCAGCGCCAGTGGCAGGCAGCGCATGCAGCATCCGCAGTCTACATGACCTGTATTAGGGTTTAGGGTTTAGGGTGTACTGTATAGGGTTTAGGGTTTAGGGTCTAAAGTCCTTAAAGGGGGTTATATGGGGGATTGTATAGGGTTTAGGGTTCAAACTCCTTAATTGGGTTTAGAGTTTAGGGTCTCAACTCCCTAAAGGGGGTTATACAGGGTTTAGAGTTTAGGGTTTAAACTCCTTAAAACGGTTTATATAGAGTTATGGGTTTTGGATTTAAACTCCTTCAGGGGGGCTTTATAGGGTTTAGAGTTTAGAGTTTAGGGTCTAAACTCCTTAACGGGGATGATATAGGGTTTAGGGTTCAGGGTCTAAATATAAAAGGAGGCTGTATAGAGGATTAATAGGGGAGTGTTATAGGTGTTATTCAGGGGGATGCTAGGTGTTTAGACCATAGCTCACATGGTTGTTCAAATGATATGGGGGGGTTCTCAAAAATAGGGGTCCCATTTTGGGGTGTGTCCCTATAATGAGGATTCTAGTATCCTGGATGTACATTGGGCATCCTTGTTGTTTATGAAAACTACGTACCACATGCACACGGTTTTAGCCTTCATTTGGTGACTGTATGCTGTATATAGGCTTGTTTTTGAATATTGGTGAGTGTATACGTTGGATGTCGCATGGAGGAGATTCGAGGAGACCAGAATCCTTGTCTGAAGCTTAGTGGTTTGAATGTAGGTTGGTCGTTGGGATCTGACTAGAGTCTGAGCAGCAAACGAAAGGTATGACCAGGATTTTGGGAACCCATTCCCCGCAACTGCCACATGGCCATGATGGGGTCCTCAGTCGCAGGTTGGGGTTACCAAAGCCCTCTTATTGACAAGGATGCACATCAGTTCTATTTTGAGTGTCCAAGTATGCAGTATTGGTCAAGTAGGTGCTTTATTTAGAGACTCCCTTACATATTTGTCCCACTGCAGATTCGGCTACAGCTAGCCCTTAAGTCCTCAACCCTACAACAGTTGTAGGGTTGAAGACTCAAGCTAAACCCTCAACCCTCTGACCTCAACCTCAACCCTATGACCTAAACTTTAAACCCCATGAAACAAGCCCTACAACCTAAGCCCCAAACCCTAAACCCGGAGACTTAATATCCGCAGGCGAAAACAGCCGTCCAGCCGAAATGCAAGAGCCGAGGCGTTTGGCGGCGCCTCGGCAACTCAGGGTACATGTACCTGCAAACCAACACGGAAGCTACTCAAGGGGTCAACACGGGTCATATAGGGATTTCACGGGGGCATATGGGTTTTAGTAGAGTTTAGGGCACACGTACTGCCCCAAGCTAACATGCAAGCCCTGTAAGGAGGTTGTCCATGACGTTCCCCAAGGGCCTTGATAGACTACAGTCAAGTAGAGTGGGTGCAGCATGAGTTCCCATGTTGGTTTTGGGCTCCTGGACCTCAGGATTTACGAGGATTCAACGTTTAGGGTTTAAGGTTGAGGGTTTGTGGAGTGGTGGTCTAGGGTTGCGGGCTAACGATTTAGAGTGTCGGATTTTAGGTCTGGAGAACTTTCAAGCGTATGGGCATGTGCCACCTCAGTCGTTTGCCGAATGCACTCCAAACACCACAGTTTAGGTTTTAGGGTTCACGGCATTGCAAGCCTGATTCTGGAAATCTGGAGACCGTGGCTGCGGCATCAAGAGTGGCAGGTTGTGAAGAATCTGATAGCATGGCACACTCAGAAAGGTATCTCAACCTCCCAGAAACCCCCTCCACCGAATTCAAAGCCTTGAAGAAGTTCTCAGCCCCTAAACACTAGTTAAACCCGAAACCCGAAACCCTAAACCCTGAACCCTAATCCCCCCCAACGTCAGACTTCAAAGCCCTCAACCCCCTGCAACAAAATCTTCTATCCTCATATGAGCTATTATAGTCTACACTCCGTAAAGGAAGTTGTATAGGGGAATGTATATGGGACTATTATAGCGGTTTTTAAGGGCGAAACTAAGAGTTTCGAGCATATCCTCATAGGGGTGGTTGTCAAAATTATGGTCTCTTTTTGGGTACCCGAAATATTAGGTGCCGTATTATAATAGGGATCCAAAACGGGACCATAGTTTTGACAACCACCCATATCAGCGCCGTACGCCGCCACATTTTGAGCGCCTGAGACTCTTTGCAGAGCTCTGCAACCCGGAGCTTGACACCCCAAAACCCACAAATCGGGAAGTGTACCCCTAAACCCTGATCCCTAACCCTAAGGGTCCATATACTGAATATTTGGGTACTTGGGTTTAGGGTAAGAGTAATTACAGTACAAGTTTTGGGTAAGTATATGATTATTAGGTACTTGGACCCTCAGGGTAAGCCCTATAAAGCCTACTCCCAACCCCAAGCCCTAAACCCCAGCCCCAGAAGCAAAAATCTGGACACAACCGCCCAGTTGAAGCTGCCGCCGGACACAAAGGACAAAAAGAAGAAGAGGTAGTGTCGGAGCCTGAATGATGACTCTCACGAAAGGTTTATAGGTAATCTTCGCCTATGAGCCGCGTATAGCTACAACATGAACCGCTCGACCCTCCGTGCCCCCCAATTTGGTAATCTAGGCTCTTTCAGTAATATCTTCTTAGCGTTTGTGGCATTCTTTACCAGCCGCTGAGTGGTACTTATAGCTTTAGCCCCACGATTTGTGTTCAGAATTTCAAGTTGTCTTCTTGGCATGCCAAGTTCCGGCACTGTTGTTTCGCCGATAACGCGGGTTGAAGACTGTTACCTCTGGTCAGCCGGGAATATGAGGAATGCAAAACGGAATTTGGGAGCTGCATGCGCACTTCTACAAGGATCCATGCCTTGAATTGATTGATCTTCAGATGTGAGTACTTGGGTACACAGGGAAGCTTGGTACTGGAGTATGAATACTGTCGAAAGTTAATGACACTACACATTGTCAGGAGATGTGCAGAAGGTCTACGTAGCATGGTGGTCAGGTTCGTACCTAGTATTCTGAATCTGAATCATGTTCAGCCACATGTCAGGGCTTACGCCGGTTATGCCTTGTATGGTGCGTCTAGACAACGAAGACATACGCACTGAGGTTCCTCGCAAAGACTACTAGATTCTAAATGCTTGATGGTGGACGCAGCGGCTGTGGCGGAAAGGCGAAAAAATGGCGCCATCCGTGCGTACAGAAGGTGCGAGCACCCAAATATCAGGCTTGTAGGTTCTAAAAGCCATTCCGATTCTGAAGCCCCTCATTTCGTTACTTGGACCCTTGGGGTATGCAAAGACACCTGGGCTTAACAAGGCCAGATCTCCTATCTGAAGACTTCGGCTACTGCTTGCATTTCATGGCTCCTTAGACTGATCTGAATATGGATGTTAGATAATCAAAGTTTTTCTTTTGAGCTCACGGATATGTTGTCCAAAACAGAGCTCCATTATTGTGGTCTGGTAGCCGCTTGCTGACCCAGAGCTATGGGGTTTGCTTAGTGCGCAGGGTTTAGGGGTAAGAGTTTAGGGATTCGCGTTTAGGGTTTAGGGTTTCTTCCGACGCTGACAGGGACAGTCGGTTTAGGGTTTAGGAATTGATCTCGGTCATCGCTAGCAAGAGTGTATCTTGGCCATGTCAGGAATCTTTGCTAACGTAGAAGCCCCAGTAATCAGGAAGAACATAATTTCTAGCTCTCGCTATAATGCTATAATTATCGCCGTAGTTGCTTCTACCCCACTTGTTCTAATTGTTCTGGCCCCTATGTTGCCGCAAGTAGGCTGCTATCTACAGTCTACCAGTACGGGCCATTAGACCTTGAAATTCTCATTAAAAAGGCTGTAGAAGTTATGGCATCCCCTCAAGAAGACCCCTGCAATTGTCCGGGATTGACACAACTTTTTTTGTCGGAGTAGGGGTGGCTGTAGATTTTGCTTGGATCCCTGAACCATAGAACCCTCCAAATGCCCTCGAACCCTGAAATCTTCGATCTCCAATGAGGCTATTGCATCCCATGAATCATGAACCCATCATATCATGATGGAGGGCCACCAGTCCTGAAGACCCATGGAGGATGCACACATTTTGGTTTGTACCTGCAAGGTATTTTCCGGAGCATGAGAAAAAGTTTTAAATTTGGTAGTTTCCCAAATTAGGGTACCCCAATATAAACCCCAATCTACTATAGTCCTTAATAGGGATCCCCAAAAAGGTACCCCTAATTTTGGGAAACCCCAATTTAGAGAAGTTCTATGTCATGACTACTTGGCACATCCCCTGCCACAGCCCGGCGCGGCCCATGTCTTCGCCGCTGTCAAGTCCAAAAGGACCTTTTACAGGAGCAGACAGAGCATTATCCCCAAATTAGCCCAATATGTCTCTTATAACAGTAGTAATAATACTGATGGTTGTAATACTATCAGGAATAGTAATATGCGCAAGCAGAGCGGCGGTAGTGTTACGAACAGCAGTAGGGCACGCAGGAGCATCATGGGCAGGAGCAACTGCAAGCGTGATACCTCCACCGTCAAAAGCTCACAATGAGAGCCTGCCGAAAAGCATTATCCCTATACTACCCCAATATATTCCCGTATGATAGTAATAATATTAATAATTGTAAACGCTAGCGCGCGCCCGCCTCGGCTGGCCGGGCTTCCCACTGTAGGAACATGTAATTATAGATATACAGGTATTTAAGTTAGGTATATGGATACAGTCATATGCCTAATACATACACAATAAAACCCTAGAAGTCCAACTAGGGACGCGCAAGTAGGACCC